TATTAGAATCCAGGAAGTGGAGTTCGCCAATCTATCCTGTCCCCCAGGATCTTGTGTTGGTGACAGACACTCAGTGTTCTTGGTTGCCTTGTTTGGGTTTGCTTTTGGATTCTGAGCTTCTGGGGGCCTGGCTGTTTCTTTTTCATCTTGGGTCCTCAGAGCCCTTAAAAGTATTTTACCAGTAACTGGGTGATCAGATACACCGAGTCTCTCTTTCTGCTTTTATGCACTGGAGGGGATCCTCACGTATAGAGGTGGCCCATTAGCTGTGGTGTTCAAGATAGGTCATTTTCAGCATTCCTCATTGTTCAGAACACAAGACTGAGCTAGCCGCTCTGGGAACCCCAGAGAGTAAAGTACCCTACCTGCCTCTCAGGTACTGCCCGGCCTGACTTGCTCTGAGTATTGTGAATCTGAGTTTCAGGAAACCATGGAGATCAGCATCATCGATGGTTGAGAGATTTGCCTTGATCTTACTCAGTGGGAGATTTCCCCACAAGTGGATTCCTGAAAACAAATGAATAAGGAGAGGTAAACCATACCAGGTCCACCTAATGGGCGCATTCAGGGGTTACTTCTGGTAATGCTTCTGTTGAGGAATTCAGTGTCCCATCCAGACCACTGAGATGCTCTGTTTGCTGCTCCGAGGCAGTCCTGGGGGTTTAGGGAAGGTTGACATCTTTCTTCCTATCTTTCTGATACATTGCTCTCAATCTTTTTTAGTGCTATCATTAATACTGTTATTATTTTAATTAAAAAATGTGCAACAGTTGCAAACAATGCAGAAATCCCACTTTCTAGAGACTACTGCCACCATCACCAATTGGTTGTGTTTCCTTAAAGACATTTTTTCATATAAATTTACACCAGTGATTTAAAAAACAAAAATGTGCCCTGGCCAGGCGGCTCAGTTGGTTGGATTGTCGTCCTGTACACCAAAAGGTTGTGGGTTTGATTCCCCCAGTCAGGGCACACACCCAGGTTACATGTACAGTCCCTGATTGGGGTGAATACAAGAGGCAACCGATTGAGGTTTTTCTTTCACATCGATGTTTCTCTCTCTCCCCCACCTTCCTCTCTCTTTAAAAATCATTAAAAAATACCATCAGGTGAGAATTAAACAAACAAACAAACATGGGGTTATTTTTTCAATGCAGCTTTTTCCCCCCCACCTGACAACCTATTTGGCCATCTTGTTAGGAAGGCATCTGATTTGCTCCTGGATTTAAATTGCTCTGTATAGATAGCTAGTCATCAGTGGCTCAGCCTTGATTAAAGAATGCTAGCAGGGTCCTTAGGGTTTCTATCAAGCAGCTCTAATGATAAGAGTAAACAATCGAGGGGCACTCTAAAACTGCCAGATATCTTTGAGGTTCATTTTATTTTAATTCATTATCTGTCACCAAGTACAACTGATAGTTCAGGGAATTGCATTCTATTTACCCTGCAGCTTTGTAAACTCAGGGGACACATGGCCCAGTGAGAGCTACAGGAAGGGTGCTGAGGAATATCGAAGTTTGGGGTGGGCAGATGAAGCATGAGTTCAAGCCGAGGAAGGGGACATCTCGCCTTTGGGTAGTGGGACCCCTGGGGACACTTCTGGGCCTTGTCTCTCTTCAGTTTTGTAGTTTATTGCCATTATGGATTACCTATCTAGGGCAATTAACTTACAAAAAAAAAAATCACAGTTCTAATGCCCACTAGATCCAGTGACCAAATTGTTATTTCCATGGGAAGCAAGAGCTGTGAAACCAAGTAGGCTCATCTTATTTTGGAACTTGTAGGATGATGAGACTATGAAGATAATAATAAAAATCTCTGATGTTGATAGAGGCTTACTATGTGCCAGACATCTTCCTTTTATTCACAGCTTGCCTTTGAGATTCTGAGAGCTCAAATAACTGTCCCATAGTCAGTACAGATGGTAAGTATTGAAACCTGGATGTGCATGTTTGCACGTGTGTGTGTGTGTGTGTGAGAGAGAGAGAGAGAGAAAGAGAGAGAGAGAGAGAGAGAGAGAGAGAGAGAGAGAGAGAGAGAGAGAGAGAGGTGGTACTGGAGAAGAGTACCTTATTTTCTCTGCAGAACTAAACTGTGGATTAGATCCAGCCTATCAGTGAAGACTGTTACCCTTTGAAGTCTGTGTAAATGCCAACTGGTTTCAACCAGTTCAAGTGGCCTGAAGTCAGAGGGTTGCCTTTCTCCAGAGGGACTAAGATTCCCATCAGGGTTGCTGCCTGTCAGCTAACCTTGGTAGTTAGTTTCTCTTTGGACAACATGACTGGCAGCGAGTTTTGAAAGTTTGGCATACAATTAGCCACCTAAGAGGCAGATAGCCTTGGGACCATTGGGGGATGAAGCTTGCCCTAAGGATGGAGAGAGATCTCAAAATCAAATCATGTGGTTGAAAGAACTGGGATTGTTTAATCTGGAGGAAAAGAGGTTTAGAGGACAGCAGGCCTGTCTAGAAAAAGGGAATTATACTGCAGTCTCCAAGGACAGCACTAGGTCTTTTAGCTAAGAGTTCTGAGGGAACAAGGTAGTTCATTACCTGGAAGTGAGAGGTGCTGGGCAGCAAAATGGGATGCTTCAGAGGGAGGTGATGGTGTATGTGGAAGAGCTAACACGTGTCCCAAATACCCACGTGTACGAAATGTTATCCCCAGACTGGGCACCCATCTGCCAGTTACATTGTTAGCTGTGGGTTTCCTTCATAGTGCTGACCAAGCATAAATGAATCATGATGCTTTGTTACAATTAAAAATGGCAAAGTTAAAACAGAGTGTTCCAAGGAAGAAAGAAATGTCAAGATTTTTTTATGGTAAAAGTTGCATTCTTGAGAAGAATCAGCCCTACATTCTTATTAGCCCCTGGATTGGTCTAAGATAAATATTCCGGATACCATGGAAGTCAGGTGATCTGGACACCTGAACATTCTTTAAGTCCTTCAGGCAGGTAATCACAAGGCTATCTATAGGATCTGTATATCTATATTTGTAGCTATATCTACATCTGCATCTACATCTACATCTATCTCCAGGCATTGGTGCATACCCAGAAAGTTCATAAGTTTAAGTCCTCAGGCTAGTTAAAATAAAATTAATTCTTCATGCTTCAGCCCATTGGATCCAATCCAGTTTTGCCAGCTTGACTATACAGATCCTGTTTTAAGTCAGCTTAGCTGTCCTGACTTCATCTGGTGTTCTTCACTCGTTCCTCCACAGGCTGGCAGGTGGATTTAACTGGCCTTTTCCTACCCCATCCCACCTTGGGCTTCTTTGCTGCAGGGCATTTCTGCTCAGAGACCACCCTGTCGATCAGTGCAGACCCATGACCCTGCAAATCAGGTTGGGGGTATTGTAGTTTGATGGGGCTGTTGTAAAAAGTACCACAAACCAGGTGACTTAAACAACATTCAGGTGTTGTCCCACAGTTCTGGAGCTGGAAGTCTAAAACCTTCTCAGGGCTGTGTGGGAGGATCTGTCCCAGGCTCCTCTCCTCAGCATGTTTACATGGTGTCCTCCCAGCATGACTGACTCCACATTTCCCCCTTTTTAAGGACATCAGGCATTTTGGATGGGGGCCCACGCAAAAGTCCTCATTTTAACTTAATACATCTGTAAGGACCCTGTTTACAAATAGGGTCACTTCCTGAGGTGCTGGGGTTAGGACTCTAACATTTGAATTTTAGGGAGACACAAATCAATCCATAACAGGGCCAGGCAGCACTCCTTTAAGCTGAGCCCACTCAGATGTGGACTGGGTACTCTGGGTGCTGCTGGGATCCTCCTTGGGCTTCCCCCTCCCTAAATATATTTCTGTTGATTTCAGAGAGGAAGGGAGAGGGAGAGAGAGAGATAGAAACATCAATGATGAGAGAGAAGCATTGGTTGGCTGCCTCCTGCACGCCCTCTACAGGGGATCGAGCCCCCAACCCGGGCATGTGTCCTGACCAGGAATCAAACTGTGACCTCCTGGTTCATAGGTCGATGCTCAACCACTGAGCCATGCTGGCCTGGCTCCTTGGGCTTTTTTAACGGCAGGGTCATTTCTCCCTGGGAAATGTCACAGCAGGACCAGCCTGTGACATTAGGGTAAAATAGACATCATGTGTCATTAGTATATTCTCATTGTTTTGCAAACACCACCACCATCTGTCTCCAGAATTTTTTTTTTTTCTTCTCAAGCAACTTCATACTCATTACGTAACAAGTGCTCATTCTTTTCTCTTCAACTTCTGGCTTAATGGATGCCAGGTGGTCTGGACATGTGAACATTCTTTCTTTAGTCCTTTAGGTGGGTAATCAGAAGGTTATCAATAGGATCTATGTCTGTATCACCATTCTGCTTTCTGTCTCTGTGAATTTGTATTATTGGCTTATTTCGCCCAGCATAATATCCTCAAGTTTACCCAAGTTGTAGCATGTGTCAGAATTTTTTTCCTTTTTAAGGCTGTATTGCATTCCTTTCTCTGTATATACTACATTTTATTTATCCCTCATCCATCAATGAATATTTGTGTTGCTTCCACCTTTGTGTTGCTATTGTGAATGATGAAAACTATGAACATGGTTGTATAAACTTAAAAAAACTTTGTGATTAAATGTACATGTTTATTGTAAAAAAATTCAGTATATTGTCAAGTAGAAAGCAACCTCGTACCCCAGTCGTCACTGGGTGTATTTTGGCCTCTATCCCTCTAGCTGTATATGCATATGGACTATGCATGTGAAATAAGGTTATTCTATATATACTATTTGCCCTTAAAAAAAAACTGTTGGAAAACTATGAAGTCACTCAGTGGTTTCCCTACTTTGAGCAGCAGTGTGGCGCATGTCGGCAATAGACAGGCGAAGGCTGGTCTTCCTTCAGTCCCCATGTGGTTGGAACGATTACCCTCATTGCAAAGTCGGAGAAATGGGCTCCAAGAAGCACAAGATTGCCCAGTTCCTTCTACCCCAAACGCAGGTTCCTAACTGGCCTCTCTCTCTCTCTCCCAGGCAAATGTCTGCAGACTGCGGCTGACCGTACCTCCCGAGAGTCCCGTTAGTGAGGAAAGTGAGAAGAAGGTGGAAAGAAAAGAGCAAGTAAGGCATTTCTGAGGCAAAGCTGTGACAAGTTCTCCTCTTTGCACTCCTTTATGTAGGCCCCTTCCTCACCCGCCATCTCTCTAGGCTCTCAGAGCCAAGTGTCAGCGGCCCTGCTGAGAGGAGGGCTCTCCACTTTGCACCCATTGTCTGTCCTCCAGAAGCCAGACCGCTCTGACCGCTGGCTCTGCCGCCCTCGCCCTTGCCTTGCTTCCTGATGAACACTGGCCCTGTGTTGGCTTTAGTGACAGGTGCTGGGGCAGGGAACATGTTTTTCCTGAGAGAGTGCAGCCCGTCACAGTCAAAGGGCCCTTTGTGAGCTGCCGGCGGGGCCTGGCCTTTCTGTGCAGCTGGAGCTGGAGCCGGTTCACGCAGTGGAGAGGCACCCGAGAGGAGAAGCCCAGCAGGCGCTGGGGTGTGGGGCAAGGGCAAGGGCACTTGGCTGCGGGTCGGAGGGAGCAGGCATTCCTGTGCCAGCGGCTGTGCTCAGTGCTGGGCCATGGAGATAAGTCTGACCTTGCCCTGGCCTCAGGGAAACTTACAGTGTTCCAGGCGAGACAGACAGGTGAGTAAACAGTGATGATGTGATGCTTCATGTCAGTACCCGGAAGTGTTAGAAGGGCTCTGGGAACACGGGAAGGGGGTAACAGACTGCTTGGGGTGGGGGTGACATGGAAGCGGAAGCTTACAGGTACACACGGCAGATCCTGCTCACCTCTAGGCCTGTGGTCCTGGGCAAGTCATTGTTCTCATTCACAAACAGTTATGGGGTACCTCTTGTATTTTAGGCACTCTTCTAGACACTGTGAGCATAGTAATGAACAAAGCAGTAAACAAACAAACAAAAAAGTCCATCATCGACAGGACTTAATATAAGTTCTATCGGGAGAATAACAAAAATTTAAAAATGAAGCAGCATTTCTAGTTTAGAAGGTAGTAAGTGCCGATGGAGACAAATGAAGCAAGAGAAGGGGACAAGAATACCAGGGTGTGGGTAGTAGGTGTTTTTTTTTTTCTGCATGTATTTTATGTAAAATAAAACAATAAACTATGATATAACATAACTTTTATACATGAAATCATAAACAATACCGACTCAGAATACAAGCCGTGCTTTGGAAATAACCAATTGTGTGGGCACCTATGAAAAAAGAAGCTTTTTCTTGTCTGGTAAATAGTTGATAGCATCCCCAAATTTACTGTAGGTCTTTGTCTCCTTCCCCTCTCCTACACCCCTTTTCTCCCCACCTGCTGCCAAAGACAAAGAGCCATCTGTGCTCATGCAAATGATGAATGACCAGGAAAGGAGGTAGGGAGGAAAGAAAATGAGGTTATGACTAGAGCAAGGTGAGAGAATGTGAAGTTGCTTATCTGCTGGAAAAGAGAGGATGAGTCCCACTGGAAGGATCCTGTAAAATAGCTGGTTCCAGGTTGGAGCAGGGAGAGCACCAGGTGAGCCTGGGACATCACCCACTAGAAAGCAAGGGAGCATCAAAGGCGAATAACATAGGACCCGGGAGCTGGTGTGAAAGGTCTCACACTGGTAAACATGGGACAGTTTGAGCACCAAAGAGAATAGTGACAGTAATGGGCTATGACACATTGAATGATAAAAACAACCTTCATGCGTGTATCATAATAATCAGGGAGAGAGAGAGAAATAGGAAAAGAGGGGGGGGGGGGAGGGTAAAAGGAAGGGAGGGAGAGAGGTAGGGAGAGATCTTTATAGAACATCAGCTGATACATATAGAAAATCTGTTTTGTCACTCTTAGGCTGAGTCATCAATAGACGTGATTAATAGGTGAGCGATTATTGTGCAACAGTATATTCATATGGTCTCACAGATTGCTTGCTGATTAAAAAGATACAGAGGGTCCTAGGCAGTTTGGCTCAGTGGATAGAGTGTCAGCCTGCAGACTGAAGGGTCCTGGGTTTGATTCCCGTCAAGGACGCATGCCCAGATTATGGGCTCGATTCCCAGTAGGAGGCAGGAGGCAGCCGATCAACGATTCTCTCTCATTATTGATGATTCTGTCTCTCTCTTCCTCTTTCTTCCTCTCTGACATCAATCAGTATATGATCCAGTTTATTAACCAATAGTGGGATGGCCTGATCCTATGTGTTTTCTAAGGTGGTCTCAGTAAAAAGTACTCAGTGTTACCTATGTAATATTCATGCCAAACTTGCTTAACTGAACCTAGTAATAAGGAAACAGAAAAAGCCAAAACGTGGGACTGTCTGCAAAACAATTGGCCAGAATCTCTTAATAAATTCAATGTTATTAAAAGAAAAAAAAAAAGAGAGAGAGAATCTGTTGGAGATAAAAAAGACTTAACATCAAATATAGTAGGTGAGCCTTGATTCGATCCTGGATGAAAAAAACTCTGTAAGAGATACATTGGGATAATTAGCTCTGAACATTCTCCAAAGAAAACATTTGGGGCTAATAGCTTATAACCAAAAGAGAGCAGGGGTGGCCTGGCTTCAGCCATAGGATCCTTGTTGGTGACCAGGACTGAGTGGGGCCCTATTGTTGCTGGTAGTGTGTGTCCCTCCAATGTCCTCTCTGTCCCTTTCCTGTCTGTCCCTTTTAGAGCTGATAGGTTTGTAAGAGAAATGGGCCTGGGCTATGGCCAGGGGCACATGGATAGCTTAGCAAGAGGGGATGCAGAAGGACCTACTAGGGATCATGCCCTGACTAGGAATCTAACCGTGACCTCCTGGTTCATAGGTTAACGCTCAGCCACTGAACCACACTGGCTGGGCTCAGAAGGAGCACTTTTTACAAAAGGTCCCGAATGAGTGATAGGCCTTGGTGGCTGTCCCCTTGTGTGTGGTGGGGGAGGTGGGGGACTTGCTCTGTTGGAGTGACCCGTGCTGCAGGCCTGGGGGGATGTTTGTGCAGGGTTCCCGGTGCTGACACTGGGGCAGTGGGAAGCTCTGGAGGGCATGTCATCGCCGTTAAAGAAGAACCAGGCATTCCCAAAGAAACAGGCACTTTTCCCTCACTTTTCCCTGTCAGGGAGTTGGTAACCAAGTTGTGTACTGATTTGCCTATTTGTCTTGAACAGTGCTTTTCAAACATTTTAAAGCAATTGAATTCTCCCTCCTCCCCCACCCCCCTTCTGATCAAAATGTTATCCCAAGCTCATAGATATAATCAAGACAAAAGTGATGATGGTGAAGACCAGAGTCCTCCCAGTTTCCCTTGACCCTGTTCTCCGGCCCCCCTCCTGCCTGAGAACTCCAGGAGCACAGGGCAGAAAACTAGATCCTGTGCCGTGATGCCGCTCATACTGGGCGGACCAGGTGTGCAGCCGGAGTGGCCGTCTGTGATGCCGTGGTGACTCACTGCAAAAGAACTGGGGTAGAGAGGAGGAGGTGGGGCTGGCTCTTTCCCCAGGACTGAAGTCCTTGGGTGGTGGCAGCACTCGAAGGCATGGGTGGTAAATGCGAGGCTGCTCTGGGTCATTTCGTCACCAGTCCTGGCGGGGTTCCTGGTTTGAAGTCACTGGGAGCCAGAGGCAGGCACCGGAGAGGAGGCCCTGGGGGTGCCACCACCTCTGATTGATGTGCCTTCTGCGTGGCAACCCCTCCCTGGGATATCGTAGCCCACCCACTTGCAAGATGCCAGGAATTCTGGTGAGATGACTTTGGTGTTTTGGGAGGGGTCTGTGGTGTGCAAAGGCTGGGGCCTGCAGCTGGCTGAGAGGTGGAGGCAGGAAGATGTAAATGACCCAAGTGGCTTCTGATGAGGAGCAAGTTCTCGGAGGACTTCCAGGGCCCTGTTAGGGCTGCAGCCGGCTGGGCCTTCCTCTTTCCACAGCCATGGAAGATGCTTAGTGTACTTTGAGGATGTGAGATGATGTGGAGTGGCCGGCCACACATAGGGGCCATTCTTCTGTCCACTGTTCCCACGTCACCAGAGCGGGGATTCCTCGCAGCGGATGGGTGTGGCACGTGGTACATGCTGCCCAGCTTCACAGTGGTGTGTCTGGAGGTTCTGGGGCCGGCACCACAGTGGCAGCATCTCTTTCTGGAGTCATGGGGCTATGGGGTGGACGTGGGAGGCTGTCTGCTCCTTTACTTTCCCTTACAGGTGATGTCAGCTGCCCTGAGGCTGTTTTCTCGGGCCTCAGATGACCTCTCAAATACTGTCCCTGCTTCTCAGTCTCTTCATCTTTCACGCAGGCACAATAATGTCTGGTTGTAAAGAGCAAATGAGCTAATATAGGCCACGGGCCCGCTTCAGTGTCTGGCCTATAAAACTGAGTGGAGTGGCAGTGATTGGATACCAGATTGCTTTCCTTTGACGCCCACAACCGTGATTCTTGTCCTTTGCTTTTCTCCCTTGGACCCTCCTGGAACTGGTCCCCTTCCTGGAACTGCCCAGCCTGCATCTCCCTTACCCTCTTAGGCTGTGCCATTATGTCCTTTTCCATAAATCTGAGTATCCCTCTGCCCATACCACCAGGCCTGGCCCCTTCTCCCTGCCGGACCTTACCTCTGAGAACTCATCCTTACACAGCTCAGAGCCACCACTGGGGGATGCCCACCAGGCCGTCAGCTCTGCTCTCCTGAGCTCTGTCCTATGGGTGGCCTCACTGACTCTCAGTGTTCTCGACATGGTGGTATTTTTATGTACAGGATACAGATATTTTAGAATTTTAGCATTATTTTTAGTATTAAAATATGAAATCTGGATTTCATGTTTTTATATGAAAAGATTTGCCCGTAACATTCTGGGCTCCCTTTAAATTTAAATGGAGTATAGGCACACCATTCAGAAACTGTCCTGACCCTGACCAACAGGCTGCCAGGGCATCTTGCATCCCCATTCCCCAGTAACAGCCAGAACGGCTGTCCTGTCTTAGGTTTGTTCGGCCAGAGTATTTCCCTCAGAGCCATTGGGGTTTCATCTATTTCCAGAGCACTCTGCTGGAGTCATCCTGGACATGGGGCAGGGCATTACGGGGAATACAAAGACAGTGTGTGGGTT